TCTCTCTCGCGCTGTACCCCTCCCCCTGCCTCCCTCCCTCCCTCCCTCTCTCTCTTTCTTTCTTTCTGTACCGGGATGAAAACTCAGGTCCTTGTGCTTGCAAGGAAGGCGGCGGAACCACTGAAATAAACCCCTGGCCCTCTATCTTTTTTAATTTTGAGACAAGGTCTTACTATTACCCCAGGCTGGCCTTGAACTCCAGGCTCAAGCAATCTTCCTGGCTCAGGCACAAGCCACCACACCCAAAAAGACTAATGATCTTTGAAGTCTTACAGTCAGTAAGATTTGTAACTTTATAGAAATAGTAAAAATTCTCTGTTTTTCTTCCTTTCTGATTAAAAACTCATCTTAGTACTTCGGGAAGACATCTACACCGTTCCCTCTGCTATGCTGTATCCAGAGGGCCAAATACAAAGTCCCTCCCTCCCTGGTCCTTTGGTATTTGTGTGAATAGGGGAGATGGGCTGACAGAAATCCCAAATCAAGGACAAAGGAATACATAAGAGATAGTAAGGGAGGAAACCCTCATCTTCCCTGCACCACGCAAGGGGTCCTCACCCAAATGACCACGCCCAGGAGGGTGCCCCAATGGCTCCTACTGCCTTTTCCAGAGACTATGTCTACAAAAGCTTGTTACCAGCCTGCCCCTTCTTCCACTCAGCTTCCTGGACGTGTCTGCACGGATGGAAGCCTGAATTTGTGAAAGCCCTCTGTTGCCGTGGCAACCATGCAGCTGCACAGGCACCGGGCAGCTGCACCCCCTCACCCCACCCAGCCCTTGCTTGTCCTGATGTCACGGAATGCCACTCACCTGTTCTGGGGGCAAAGCAGCATCCTCCATGCTCCTACTGGGGAAGCCACAATGGACACCAAGTGACACAGCCAGGTCAGGAAGGATGTCTGCCACCACCAAGGTCAGAAGTTTGGGGACTTGTCTCGACACCACAGGCTCTTCAAACTTTCCTCCTTGGGGAGAGATGACCGTCAGATATCGCTCCCCCCTGACCCAGTGACTTGGGGCCCACAGCTGTGCAACGTTCTATTCCAGCCCTGTATTTCCAGTCACAAGTGACCTTCCCCTACACAGTGCTTCCTGGGAACACTCAGACTCCCTGTTGGGGGGTAGCTCAGTGGTAAGAGCATTTGCACTTGGTAACAAGAGTGTAAGGCCCAGGGTTCGACTTCAGTACTGCACACGTGAATGCACACACACACACCCACACACACACTCCTAGACCAGGACCCTGAAGCAGGGACACTTTCCACCAGAACCAGCATAATCTCTCTCAGGTAAACATGGGCTCTGGAGAGGCCATGGGCTGAAGAGGGAGGGGACACAGGAGTCCCCCTCCTAAGACCCAATTTGTAGATTTCTCATAGAAAGCTACCTCCCAGCTCATGTGGGCAAGAACGAGAAGAGGGCAAAATACTCTAAAAAGCCCAGCACTGAAGGGCAGTCCAGCGGAGAGTGCTTGCCCAGCACATGCCAGGCTCAAATTCATTCCGAGCACCAGTGCACTATGCAATTTCCATAAGTAACCTGTACCGCGATACTCAACGTTAAATTCTTTTTCAGTACTGGGGATTGAACCTAGGGCCTCTGCAGTGAGCTACAACCCCATCTCTTTTTATTTTGAAACAAGGTCTCGCTAAGTTGTTAAATTTCCCAGGTTGGACTTAAAGTTGTGATCTCCCTGCCTCAGCCTCCCAGAGTGCTGAGATTACAGGTGTGCACCACACCATGCCTGAAATCCCCCTCCACGCCCAGGCTGGTAATCAAATCCAAGGCCTTGTGTATACCAGACAAGCACTGTGGCACTCAGCCACATCCCCAACCCCTGAATTTTTCTTAAAGCCACTTAGAAACCAAGAACTTAGAATACAGGCCAGGGATTTAGCTCAGTGGTTTCACTGCCTGCCTTGAAAGCACAAGGTCCCGAGTTCAATTCCAGCTACAAAAAAAACTTAGAATACATGTAACCATACCAGGAATGGACCCAACACCCTCCTCACGGCCCAGTCTCTGCACATTCCACAGGGTCACCCTTCCCATACTGCAACCCAAATGAAAGGAGGCAGCCTCTGGGCCTGGGCCAGTGCCCTAGCACTGCTGCCGGGGGCCAGCAGGCACCAGCTGGGGTGGCCTGGTTAAGCAGAGGAGCCACCAGGCAGCTTGGCCTGCAGACAGTCTTGGGAGGTGGCTGCAAGGCCTGCAGTGACCAGGATTTCCCTGAACAGGGGCTTCTGTAAGCACAATAATCTCATGCCCAGGTCAGAGGCACGGGAAGCCATGCACCAGCCTGGGCACCTGTGCATCCCACAGAGTGGAGAGCAGCCCCTCTTCCACCAAACCCATGTCAACCAGGACAATGGGTTCCCAGCCATCAGGAAACTGAAGCAGACCCGCCCCCATCCGAAAACTTGGGTAACAGCTACTGGTCATATGGCAAGTGAAACCTCCACAGGGCTGATCCTGAAGGCACAGAAATCCTTCCATCACCCCAGGAGGGCGCCTTCTAGTCGGGTCCCACCAGAACAATTCCAGGAGTCTCCCAAAATCCCCACTCAGAGGAATCTGACCCTGCTTATCTGTATCAGGCACTGAACCATCCAGCTAGAACCAGATATGGACAAGAAAATGATTTTTAGAGTGTAGCTATTAGCCAAGTATGATGGTACACACCTGTAATTCCAGCACTCTGGAAAGCTGAGGCAGGAGGATCCCAAGTCTAAATCCAATCTGGGCAACTTAGTAATTCAGTGAGACCCCGTCTCAAAATAAAAACAGGGGGCCGGGGATTTAGCTCAGTGGTTCCAGTGCCTGCTTTGCTAGTGCAAGGACCCGAGTTCAATCCCCAATACCAGAAAAAAATAAATAAATAAAAATAAAAACAGGGAGTACATTCCTCCAATCCCAATACTTGGGAGGCTGAAGCAAGAGGAACCCTGCTATGAATTCAAGGCCAGTCTCAACTACATAGCAAGACCCTCTCTAAATAAATAAATGTAAATTTTAAAAATGAGGGCTATGGATGGATGTAACACAACAGAAAAAAAGAAAAAAGAAAGTTTAGTTTTGTTTTGTATTTTGGTTTTTTGAGACAGGGTCTCACTATGTAGTTGAGAATGACCTGGAACTCACTATGTAGCCCAGGCTGGTCTCGAACTCACAGCGATCCTCCTGCCTCAGCCTCCTGAGTGCTGGGATTACAGGTGTGTGCTACCACGACGTCCGGTTAAAGAAAGTTTAGGTAGTCACTAAATACCAGGCTTTATGTACTTTTAAGATAAAACCTTATTTCCCTGAAAATCATACCTAACTAGAAAATAAGTCCTAGTATGATTTTTTTTCAGGATGATCAGAGTCCTATCCAGAAAATAACTCCCACTTAAAATCATCATTCATAGGGCCAGGGGTTTAGCTCAGTGACACCATGCCTGCCTCACAAGCACAAGGTTCAATCCCCAGTACCACAAAAAAAGATAAAAATGAAAAATAATTAAAAACATCAGCCAGCCAGGGATTTAGCTCAGTGGTTCCACTGCCGGCCTCACAAGTACAAGGACCTGAGTTCGATCCCTGGTACCAAAAATAAAAAATAAAATAAAATAAAACCATCAGCCAGACAGACACATTTAGCATGTCTATCCATTGAGACACAGGATGAACATGCTGAATTATAATATTAAGATAATTTCTCCAAAGTATGGAGAATACAAATATAAGCACTCTATTTATTTATTTATTTTTGGTACCAGGGATCAAACCCAGGACCTTGTACTTGCAAGCAGGTGATACAAGCACTGTATTTTAAAAAGCAAACACAAAAGATTGGTGTAAATTCAAAAGGTTTAAATGCTTCCATTGAAAAATTACAATATTAGTATGTAATTAAATATAAGTAAATAATACTATGACATAAATTAAAATAAATGATACTATAAATTATAATTAAGTATTTGTAAATATCCATGTGGGAGCCTCTGAATGAGGAGTAAATGGCATGGAGATTTTAGCTTAGCGGTTCTGCCACCTGCCACACAAGTGCAAGATCCCGAGTCCAATCCCCAGTACCAAAAAAACAGAACTTTCTTTGGGCCCAGGATTTAGCTCAGTGGCACCGTGTCTGCCTTACAAGCACAAGGTCCTGAGTTTGATCCCCAGTACTGCAAAAAATAAGAAGTATCTATGTAAACAAATGAACTGCAGGCTTAATGCCAAATGACCAACTGGAGCCAGGGATTTAGCTCAGTGGTGCCACAGCTCACCATCTGCCTTGCAAGTGCAAGGTCCTGAGTTTGATCCCCAGTGCTAAAAAACACAAAAACAAAAACAAGTAAGGCCTGGGATTTAGTCCAGTGGTTTCAGCGCCTGCCTTGCAAGCATTAAGATCTTGAGTTTGATCCCCAGTACCAAAAAAACCCCAAACACGTTGACCCAAATTACCAATTGGAGTATAGACACAACACAGGAACAATGTGTGCACTTGGTAACAAATGGAGGTGGTTGTATCTAATATAAATCCTCATAAATAATACATCATGTGTTGTAACCTAAATTCTTACTGTACTTGTGTGAAATAAAGAAACATTCTCTGAACTTTGTTGCCTGTAATTTTTCAACACTTTTGTGTGGACGATATTTCTTTTTTTTTTTTGTACTGGGGATTGAACTCAGGTTCTTGTGCTTGCGAGGCAGGCAGCAGAACCACTGAGCTCAATCCCCAGCCCAATTCTTTCTTTTTTAAGACAAGGTCTCACTATGCAGTTCAGGCTGACCTTGAACTCATTATGTAGCCCAGGCTGGCCTCAAACTTGTGATCCTCCTGCCTCAGCCTTCCAAGTGCTAGGATTATAGGCATGTGCCACCTCACCTGGCTTGGACCATTAATCTTAACTGTCAACACTTTTGTTTTGTTTTGTTGAGACAGGGTTTACTATGTAGTTGAGGCTGACCTCGAACTCACTATGTAGCCCAGGCTGGTCTCGAATTCACAGCAATCCTCCTGCCTCAGACTCCAGCTGGGATTATAGGCATGTGCTACCACACCTGGTTTAGCTGTCATCACTTTTTATGCCACTCTTGTTATTAAGTCTTCAATTAGCACTTGATTTAATGGAAATTTTGTAAAGTCCAGCCTGCAGGAGGTTGCGACTTGGGTGAAGAATTCATGCAATAAAATCACTGATAGCCATGTTGCCAATGCACTAGAAGCAGGCTGCATGGACAAGAAGCACTCATTTAAGGAGAGCTCTATTGCTGGACAGGAAAGATTGAGTTGTACAGGAAATGAGTCACAAAAAACTCAGGCCAAAGTTTAGGGTTTGGAGAGTTAGGAAGATGCTCCAGAAGACAACATGACTATATGTGAAAAGATGTAAATTGTTGAACACGAAAAAAATGATACATCTCCTGAAAATAAGCCCTACGGTGTCTTTTGGAACAAAAATTTATATAGGACTTGGTCTTATTTGATGGAAAATATGAAATAATAGTTTATAATTTTTTCAAAAGTATTATTAGTAAATGAAATCCCAGTATCTGCAGAGTACACATCCCCTCCCCAAAAGGACCTTGAACTGCTTGCTACTCAGACACCAAAGAATCACAGGATCTGCTTGGCATGATGGCACATGCCTATACTCCAGCTGCTGAGGAGGCTGAGGCAGAAGGATCACAAGGTCCATGCCACCTGGAACAATTTAGCGAGACCATCTCAAGACTGTTTCTTTAAGAGTCTAGGGGTGCAGGGCCTGGGATTTAGCTCAGTGGTTCCACCACCTGTTTTGCTAGTACAAGGTCCCAAGTTCGTTGGATCCCCGGTACCAAAAAAAAAAAAAAGAGTCTAGGGGCGCAGCTCAATGTTACAACACTTGCCTACCATACGTGAAGCCCTGGGTTCAATACCTAGCACAATGAAAGAAAGGGAGGAAGAAAAGAAAGAAAGAAGGAAAGATAAATGAACATCCTCCAAATGTGAGGATGAAATGTCTGGGATGTGCTTTGAGCAGCCACACAGATGGGAGGAGGCAGATGAATAAACTGGGTCACGTGTTGATAACTGTTGCAACTCGACAATGGCCAAGTAGAAGGAGATCCCTCTTACTGTCCTTTCACAAATGTGTAAAACTGCATAAGAAATGTTGAGGGTGGGCCAGGGATTTGGCTTAGTGGTTCTGCCACCTGCCTCGTAAGTGCAAGGTCCTGAGTTCGATCCCTGTTACCACCAAAAAAATAAAAAATAAAAGTTGAGGGGGGTGTGGTGGCACATGCATGTAATCCCATTATTCAGGAAGCTGAGGCAGGAGGATCGCTTCAGAGTTTGGGGCCAGCCTGGATTACATAGCAAGACCTTGTCTGAAAAAAAAAAAGGCCAAGGATTTAGCTCAGTGTCACCGCACCTGCCTCACAAGTGCAAGGTCTTGCGTTCAATCTTCAGTACCACACATACACAAAAGAGTTGAAATCATCAATGTGATCTGAAATGTACAACTTTCACTCTCCCTCTTCTGTGGTCTTCACTTATACAGTGACATTTTCTAGGCTGTCCCCTGGTACCCAGTGGTTCCTACTCTAGCCTTCACACATCATACCAGAGAAATCACTGCCCCCTGGAGCTTCAGCCCCAAAATCCTTCCTTAGGCCCAGGGATTTAGATCAGTGGCACTGAATCTGCCATACAAGTGCAAGCAACTATTTGATCCCAGGTACCAAAAAAAAATCCTCATTGAGCCCCTCTGGGTATCACCAGAACAGGACTCACCCTTCTTCTCCTGCTCCTCTTCATCCACTATGCCAGGCCCCATCCACCCAGGACTCAACTGCTGGGGCTCCTAGCAGGTATCTGCTGTTGCTGCTGTTTTGAGTCAGTCTTGTTATGTTATCCAGGCTGGCTCAAACTCCTGGCCTTAAGCTCTCCTCCTGCCTCAGCCTCCAAGAGTGCATGCATTCACTTTTTTTTTTTTGTACTGGGTATTGAACTACAGCGGTTGGGTTTGCAAGGCAGGCTGTGGAACTACTGAGCTAAATTCCCAGCCCTGGGTTCATTTTTGATAATGTTGTTGGATTGTGTCTAACATGAACTACAATGTATCAAACCTGGCTAAAAAAACAAAACAAAACAGGAGAAAATAGCCTGGTATGATGCGCAAGCCTGTAATCCCAGCACTCGGGAGGCTGAGGCAGGAGGACTGCCGTGAGTTCAGACACCAGCCTGGGCTACACAGTGAGTTCCAGGCCAGTCTAACTACATAGTGAGACCCTGTGTCAAGAAACCACCCCACCTCCAAAACAACAGAAGAAACTAGCCAGGCATAGTGGTGTACACCTGTAATCCTGACACTCTGGGAGGCTGCAGCATGAGGATTCCAAGTTTGAATCCGGCCTGGGCAACTTAGCAACTTGGAGAAATCTTCACACACACACACACACACACACACACACACACACACACACACACAAACAAACAATAAATTAAAAAGGGCCTGGGACATAACTCCAGGTGAAGGCCTTGGTGTCATTGGGGTTGGGGGAGGGGCTTGAGGAAACTAAAAAGAACTTGATGCCAATAAAAACCCTGCACTCCCTCTGGACATACCGGTTCAACATCCCAGAGCGGGCCCTTACCCTCTGAATCCAAAGCTTTCATTTCTATTTCCTGCACCAGCAGTTTTCATCTTCTCTTAGACCCTATGCTGTCGGAGCAAAGACAGGGCCACAAATTAAGAACTATGCTTCAGGGCTCCAACAGCCTCACCTCTTGCTATATCCTCCTTCTGCCATAAATGGCCTCAAACTAGGATTAGAATACTAGCTTAGTAAACAGGATCTTTAATTAGTAGTCTCTCGCTCATTCTTTGGGTTTCTATTACCTTTTGTAGAAAGAAAGAAAAAAAATGAAATCAGGGCCGGGTGTTTGATTCAGTGGTGCCACACCTGCGTGGCAAACACAAGGTCCTGAGTTAAATTCCAGGTACTAAAAAAAAAAAAAAAAAAAAAAAAAAATGAAGCCAGGTATGGTGACTCATGCCTGTAGTCTCGGCTATTTGGACTGAAACCAAGAGGACTGTTTGAACCCAACAAGTTCAAGACCAGACTGGGTAACATGGTGAGATTCCCCATCTCAAGACAGCCAGGCATGGTGATGTACACTTAGACACCCAGGTACTTGGGATTACAAATTCAAGCTCACCCTTGGCAACTTAGCAATACCCTGCCTCAAAATAAGAACAGAAAAGGGGTAGGATGTAGCTCAGTGCAGTGACCTTAGGCTTAATCCCCAGCATTACAGAGGGCTGGGAGACAGTCCACTCTGGAATCAGGTAGTGGGGATCATGGCACAGTCTTGAAATTGGCCCTAGGGGCACACACACACGTCACCCCAGCACTGAGGGAGACTGAGACAGGAGGACTGAAAATCTGAGAACCACCTAGGCAACTTAGCAAGACCCTAACTCAAAATTTAAAAATAAAAAGCTGAGGATATAACTCAGAGGTAGAGTGCCTCTAGGTTCAATCTCAAGCACCAAAAAAAAAAAAAAAAAAAAAAAAAAAAAAAAAAAAAAAAAAAAAAAAAAAAAAAAAGAGGCTGGGGATGTAGCTCAGTGAGAAGGCCTTGGGTTCAATTCCCAGTAACACCTCCTCCCCCCCAAAATTCCATGGAATTGTACATTTTAAAAGTGTGAAAATAAAATAAAATAAAGTGTGAGTTTTATGGTATGTGAAATTTCATTAAAATATGTTTGGGGGTGACGCCTGACACAGAGTCTCACTATATAATTCAAGCTGACCTTGAACTCACTAAGTAGCCCAAGTTGGTTCAACCTCTCAGCAATCCTTCTGCCTCAGCCTCCCAAGGGCTGGGATTATAAGTATGCACCATCACACCCAGTATTCAATAAATAAATAAATTTTACACCACCTACCTTGAAAGCACAAGGGCCCGAGTTTGATCCCCAGTACCCCCAAAAATAAATTTTAAAATTTGACCATCCTAAAATAAGGGACCTTGATCTCAAGGGACCCTGATCACCTCATTTAGGGCAGAGCAAGGTTCCTCTCCCTCCTCAAGAGACACGGAAGTTACAAGAGGCAGGCCAGGCTGGCAGGTGGCCCATATGCTTCAAAGAACAGAGGGGTCTTTGGGATAGCACTCCCTAAAACCAAGATTTGGACCTTCCAATACACACACCCTACTGCAATCTGGCAACACAGCCAGGATATCCCAGACCTCTTCTTCAGGCAGCTGGAGAATTCTAACCCTTCGATCCTACCATCAGCCTGCAGCTGGGTCACACATTCTTCTGTGTCAATCAAGAACTCACTAAGGCCAATTCTGGACCAAATTCAAAACTCGGTTCAAATATGAGGAACTATCTGCAAATCCCAGCCATCTTCCACTTGAATTTCTCACTGCTTGAACCCAAGCAAGCTCCTAAGGCTCAGACATTCACCCACCGCTCTGAGTCCTGCAAGATGATGGCTATAAACCCAGGTACACATACAGGTAGGCAGAGAGCAACACGATGGAAGCCACTAGTTAGAGTGCAGATCCCTACTACGTCCTTATAGGCAAGAGAGAATCCGTGCACCCTCTGACGGGGCACTATGGGGCACCCCATCGTGCCCCCCATCTATCTGCGCACCATTTGGGGAAGGCGCTGTGGGACGCCCCATCGTGCCCCGATCTGCGCACCGTTTAATGTAATCCCAAGTGCCCAGGTAAAATGGCTTTTCCTCCATCCCCTCCACCAAGTCATACAATAAGCAGGCTCCAGAGGTTAGGGGACTGGATTAAAACAGCACTCAAGATTAAGAAAAAAAAGTTGGAGAGTGGGCACGGAGGAACAGTGTACCAGGGCCCAGGCACAGGGACCCGGGAAGCGCGCTCTGGGAGGCCCGGAGCAACCTGAAACTCAGGGGGCGGAAGGGGGTTACCACTCTGACAATCAGGACCGTGGGGCTGGGAACAAGATGGGAGGCAGGGCGAAGGCCTGGGAACAGGACGGGATGGGGCCGGGAAGAGCCCAGGAGCACAGTCAGGGTCGAGAGGACAGGTCCAGGAGGGAGGGGTCGGGATTGGAATGGGAAGAACCGAAGGGGGCCCAAGCTGCCGAGCAAGCAGCAGAGCGTAGAGAGGAGCGGGCCGTACCTCTCCGAAGCTGGCCATGTCACAGGCAGGCTGTGCCACGGCCGCCGGAGCCGTAGCCCCGGAGCCTCTCGCCCGCCCAGCCACGGATGCTCGAAGCCGGCGCGTCGCCTGCTCTACAGAGCTCCCGACAAGGGGCGGGGATACCTATCACTTCCGGCGCTCTCTTCACGTACTTCCGCTAGTCAGCAAGCGGGCCCCGCCCGCCGCCATGTTGGGTGTGGCGCGGGCCTTGGTTTATCCTGGCTGCGGAGTGGCGTGTTTTCTGTTCTGGTTTTGCAAGCCTCCTGCCTCTGCCCCCCTACCCCCGCGCAGTCCTTCTGGCCTGCCCTTGTAGACCCACCGCGGCTCTGCCGCCAGGCCTTTGTATTTGCCTTTTCCACTGCCTGCTGTATTCACAAGCCACCTGTCAGACCTCCCAAGCACCCCACATAAAATAGCATGGCTGCTCCCCAGCCTTCACACCTGACCTGAACTTGCCCCTCGTCCTGAATGATGTGTCTCTATAGCTCTGCATCTGACTTTTTTGGCCGGGGGGATTGAACCGAGGGACTTTGCACTAAGCTACATCCTCAGCCTTTATTATATTTTGAGCCAGGGTCTCGCTAAATCACTATTGCCCAAGATAGGGTCGATTTGCAATTCCCCTGTCTCTGCCTCCCAGAGTGTTGGGGTTACAGATGTGCACCAACAGGCCCAAGTGAACTGTTGTTTTTTGGGGTTTTTTTTTTTTTTTTTGGTTCCCAACAATTCCCATAAACTAAGAGGAGGATTAGAACTAATCTTGGCATGCAGTAAACGCTGAATAGATAGTATTTGCTGAGTAAACCATGAATGAATGTTATGCCTTTATCCTTAAGCTTTTTCATTTTTGAATAGTTTACTAATAAAGAGCTGAGTGTAATGGTCCACACCTGTAATCCCAGCACTCAAGCTGAGGCAGGAGGGTCACCATGAGTTTGAGGCTACTCTGAGATACATAGTAAGTTCAAGTCCAGCCTGAACTATGTAACAAGACTTGTCTCAAAAAAAGAAAGAAAAATAGGGCCGGGGATTTAGCTCAGTGGTGCGGTGGCCTGCCTTGCAAACACAAGGACCCGAGTTCAATCCCCCATACCAAAAAAAAAAATAAAAGAAAGAAAAGAAAGAAAGAAAAAGTTAAAAAAAACAGTTTTCTAATGAAAATTTGTACAATGACAGGTGTGGTGGCACAAGCCTATAAACTCAGCACTGGGAGAGATAGAGCCAGGAGCATTGCAAGTTCAAGCCTAGCCTGGGCTAATAGCAATTTATTGAGACTCTGTCTCAAAGTAAAAAATATAAAAGGGGTTTGGGATGCAGGGCACTGTGGCATACACCTGTAATCCCACACTTGGAGGCTGAGGCAGGAGGATTACTGTGAGTTTGAGGCCAGCCTAGACTACATAGTGAGTTCAAGGCCAGCATAAACAACACATGGAGATCCTCACTCAAAAAAAAAAAAAAAAGGTGGGGTGGAGTGGAGATGTGGCTCAGTGTGAAATCCCTGGGTTCAAACCCAGTACAAAAATAAAGAAATCTGCCGGGCGTGGTGGTGCACACTTGTAATCCCAGCACTCGGGAGTCTGAGGCAGGAGGATCGCTGTTAGCTCGAGACCAGGTTGGGATACATAGTGAGTTCCAGGTCAGTCTCAACTACATAGTGAGACCCTGACTCAAAAAAAAGAAAGAAAAAAGAAACCTTTGGGGGACACTATTCAGTGGCTTCAGAACCCCTGCAGCCTTTCTTTCCCTCCCACTGCATAGGGTTGAGCAGGAATTCTCTGATGAGCACCAGCTGGAAATTAGAGTGGGCTGTGGAGGAGACATGGGCCAGGCTGTCACAGATCTCAATGGCAGGGCCAGGGATTTATCTCAGTGGCATAGCACAAGGTCCTGAGTTTGAACCCCAGTACTGAAAAAAGAAAAATCTCAGTGGTAGAGTACTTGCCTCACATGCCCAGGCATTGGGTAATGCTACCCCTTAAAAAAAAAAGTGGGTGCAGAAGAGCCAGCCTATAGTTCCAGTCACCTGCAGGCTGAGGAGGAGTGTTCTGGGAATTTTAGGGCAAAAGTCTCAACTCTTCGCACTCCAACAGAGCAGGCTCAGGCACCAGCCCCATGATGGCAATCAAGCGGACATGAGCAGGGTGCTCAGCAAGCCACCCTGGGAGGGACAGATAAAAAGGTTAAAGACCTGTCTCCAAGGTCTGCGGGAACTCTGGGTTGAAAACAAAGGCGGGGGGTGGAGGTGCACAGCTGGTAGTGTAGATTATCCTGGTCAACAGTCAACAGCCAACCTTCAGCTGCAGGTAGCTATCTTGGGGTTGGTCCAGGGAAGTGACACCGCCTGAGGGGACAACTTGGTTTCCCTCAGGAGAGATGGCTCCTGCTGTGGAGGCCACACCACTTTGCCAGGGGTGATCTGTTCTTCTTGGGGGTGACTTCGGCATGAGGTGGTCTGGGAGGCACTGCTTTTCCCAGCATCCCCGAAGGCTGCAGGATTACGATGACATTGGAGACCAGGAAATTGTTCCAGGGGCACGTGGAGAGCTGGAGGGCTTCGGTAACCCATTGTAAAAAGCCTATAAATGGAATTCCTGTTGTTGCTTGCATGTTGGTGTCCTCAGTCTTGTCATCAGTCTTGATCTTAGCCAGGTAAACTCCAGGCTACCGAACCTTGTGAGGCAGACATACACTCCTGGAGTGATGAATACGCATGGTTTCAGAGTGGGGCAGGATCCAACCCAGAGTTTGAAATTTGTAAAGAAACTAAAAACAAACAAAAAAAGAAAGTTAAATGGGGCTCTCATTATTTATCATTATTGTTATTTATCTCATTGTTTATCATTATGGGAGCCCAATTCTTTCTGTCTGTCTTTCTTTCTTTGTTTTTTTGGTTTTTTTTTTCTTTTGTTATTGTAGTTGTTTGGCACCGGGGTACTTGGGTCTTTGCTATTGCAAGGCAGACAGCAGAAACACTGAGCTAAATCCCCAGCCCTTTTTCTTGCTTTTTGAGACAAGGTCTCACAGTGCAGTTCAGGCTGGCCTTAAACTCACTGTGCAGCCCAAGCTGGCCTGTAATTTGTGGCAACACCCCTGCCTCTGCTTCAGAAGTGCTGGGATTACAGATGTGCACCACCGTGCTGGCTGGATTTCGATTCTGACCCAGACAACCATCCAGGGGCACTCACAGAGATGTCCCTGTGGTCCTGCTGCCCCTGCCTGGCTCCTTCCTCCTGCCCCCTCCACTCTAGCCACCCTGGCCCGGTGCAGGTGAAACCCTAGTGCAACACCCTCCTCCACGAGGCAGGCCTAGGGCTCCTCTCTCCCAGCATCCTGGACCCACTCCACCTGTAATTGCATGTGCCTTTTACCATGGGTGACTGGCATCTTATTTTCTGTCCCCCCCATGGAGCAGTGGCTGACAGTAGTGGGTCCTTGATAAATGGTGACTGGGTCATTGCGGGTTAAATGAGATACTGCATCAGAGTGTCCAGGACAGATGGGCAGGCAGTTCCATTCACAGGAGCTGGGGCCATGACTGCTGTCAGCAGCACCACAGCCACTACTCAGGAAGCCTCAATTCACTTCACGTTCCGACCGGCTGTGGTAGTACACAACTATAATCCCAGCCCTCAAAGACCAGCAATTTAGTGACTTACTTAATGAGATTCCGTCTCAAAATAACAAAGGGCAGGGGATGTAGCTAAGTGCAAAGGCCCTGAGCTCAGTCCTCAGCACTGTAGTAAAAATAACAATAATAAGCCAGGTGTGGTGGCACGAGCCTGTAATCTCAGCACTCGGGAGGCTGAGGCAGGAGGATCGCTGTGAGTTTGAGACCAGCCTAGGCTACATAGTGAGTTCCAGGTCCGTCTCAACTACATAGTGAGACCCTGTCTCAAAAAAAAAAAAAAAAACCAAAACCAAAACCAAACAAAAAAAACAATAATAATAGTAAGGACAGGAGTACAGGAGTACGGGAGTACGGCTTGGGGGATAGTTCTGGTGGTAGGGTACTTCCCTACCATTTGAGAGGCCCTGGATTCAATCCCCAGCAACACCACCAAATATGTCCATGTACCATGCACTCATAGGTGGGGTTTTGGGGAGGTGACTGGATTATGAGGAGTGACACTCTTCAGCAGATTAGTCTGGTGGGTCAGTGGAGGGTGTGGCCTGATGGGTCTGTCACCCTCCATTCTCTCTTTTTTTTTTTTTTTTGAGACAGGGTCTCACTATGTAGTTGAGACTGACCTGGAACTCACTATGTAGCCCAGGCTTGTCTCGAATTCACAGCAATCCTCCTGCCTCAGCCTACTGAGTGCTGGGATTACAGGTGTGGGCCACCACGCCTGGCCTCAATTCTCTCCTGATTGCTCTCTGCTTCCACCTATGCACCATGAGCTTTTTTTTCCTCTGCCACACCCCTCTGCCATGCCACCCTGCCCCGGAGCCTTCTGACTATAGATTGAAATCCCTTCAAACTGTTAGCCTTAATTAATCTTTCCTCCTTAGAATTGTAGATGTCAATGCCGGGCATGGTGGCTCATGCCTGTAATCCCAGCACTTGGGAGGCTGAGGCAGGAGGATCTCTGTGAGTTCGACACCAGCCTGGGCTACATAGTGAGTTCCAGGTCAGTCTCAACTACACAGTGAGACCCTGTCTCAAGAAAACCAAAGGAAAAGAAAACAAAAACAAACAAACAAAAAAAACAACTGTAGACATTCTAGAAAAGACAGAATTTTGCAGGCAATACAGAGTTTAGTGGTAGAGCCCTTGCCTGTAAGTAGGTAAGGCTCTGAGGTTCAATCTCCAGCACCAGAAGTAAGATCAGGGGTTGCCAGAGGGGGAATGAACAGCAGAAGCACGGGCACAGACCCTGCAAAGGGGGTCCAGCCCAGGACCTGGGAGGTAGGCTCACCACTGGTAGCAAAGTGCTAAGGAACTGCCTTACAAGCGTAAGGAGCCAAGTTCGATCCCTGGTACCCAAAAAACAAACCAAACAAACAAACAAAAAAACCCCAAAGTGGTAAGGAATACAGGGGAACTCTGTCAAGAGCCATTCTACATAAATTTTGGGGGGAAATCATTTTGTACTTAAAGTAGGACTACAGCTGTCTAAGGCCCATTGTCACCTTGTCCTGGAGCATGGCATGTGGAAACATAACTCTTTTGCCTCCTGTCACAGCGGAGGCCTCAATGGTCCTGTGTTGCTGTGACACTCAAAAGCAAATATGCATCAGCTGAAGACATCCTGGTTCTTGACAAGTGAGTAGTGATACAAAAGGAGAACCATCTCACCTCATCGACCTCGGGTCACTGCTGCCCGCTAAATCACTGGATTCTCTCTCCAGTTACTGTGTGTACCCAGGAAATGATAGCTAGCTGGAGAGTCCTTGTCTTTGCTCACTCTGAGGCAATGACCTCCCAGACTCCCATACACTTTAAAATTCTGCAAGTCTGTGTAGTCATTGTTTCCCATAGCTTTCCCTGTTTCCCTTTCTAGGCAGCTGGAGGACTGATGGACCTCCTATAGAACTCTCTGCACTTTATCTCCCATTTTTTTTCTGTGAGTTTAAAACTACTCTAAAAAAAAAATTTTTTTTTTTTTTTTTTTTTTTAAGCCAGCCCTGGTGGTATATGTCAGTAATCCCAGAAATCTGGGAGGATGAGGCAGCGAAGTTTCTTCAAATTCCAGGCCAGCCTGGGCTACATAGTGAGTTCAAGGCCAGCCTAAACTGCACAGTAAGACCATTGTCTCAAAAAAACAAACAGGGCCTGGGATTTGGCTCAGTGGTTCTGCTGCCTGCCTTGCAAGCGCAAGGGCCCGAGTTCAATCCCCAAGTAACCAAACAAACAAGGGGTCAGGATTTAGCTCAGTGGTGCAAGGTCCTGAGTTTGATCCCCAGTACCCCCAAAGAAATACAAACAAATTCATTCGTTCAAAGTCAAAAAAAAAAAAAAGAAAACTATTTGATCTCCAGTACCCCCCCAAAAATAAAACTGAACAAAAAAAAGAAAACTAGAAGAGATCTGGGGATATAATTCAGTGCAGAAGCCCTGGGTGGTTCAATCCCCAATATCGCAAATCAATAGTTTTGTTGTTGTTGTTTTTGCACCAAGGATTGAACTCAGGCCTTTGTGCTTGCAAGGCAGGTGGTGGCACCACTAAGCTAAATCCCTGGCCCACAAATGAATAGTATTTAAAAATAGCAATGTGAGCCAGGCATGGTGGCACATGCCTGTAATCCCAGCACTTGGGAGGCTGAGGCAGGAGGATCGCTGTGAGTTGAGACCAGCCTGGGCTACATAGTGAGTTCCAGGTCAATCTCAAATACATACTGAGACCCTGTCTCAAAAAAAAAAAAAAAAAAGAAAGAAAAAGAAAAAGAGAAAGAAAGAGGGCTGGGGGTGCTGCTCAGTTTGAAAGCCCTGGTTTCATTCAATCCTCAGTACTTCAAAAAGAAATAGGAAAAAAAAGAAAAAGGAAAAAGGAAGGTTAATTTATTTCAGGGGTCTGAGTTACCTTATGGGGGAGCCAGCTTCCTGTCGTGGTGGCGCAGACCCAGGAGGAACCGTGGGGCTGCAAGGTGGTGGTGGTCAGGGTACCCCGGCATTGAAGAGGGTTTGGCAAGGGAGGTTCCACTTTTCTGGCCAGCTCGGCCAGGAGGTAGGCCTTGGGCTCCCAACCTGTACAATGGGTGCAGGGAAAGAGCCACCAGCCTTGTGGCTTCCTCTGGCTTCAAACAGCTGAGTCAGTGAGGCTAGGCGCTGGATGCTGGCCGAGCTGGAGGACTGGGTCAAATCCATGTCCGGTCCCACTTCCGCAGCCTTTAAAGGCAAGGACTGTGAGGCACCTGCTTAATCCTCCGGTTGTCGCTGACGGCTCATTTCTCCAAGGCAAATGTGAGCAATGTCATGACTCCCCCAGGACACACAGGTAACCAAGCCATGTCCCCAGCCACCCTCTGTCCCAGTCTATCCTGGGGGGTGTGGCTTAGCTCTTGGCCTGTCCCCAGTCAATCCATGCTTTTATCTGACACCCAAGTCATATCACTGCCCGGGTCATGGTCCTCTGGCCCCTAAGGCCAGCTCGTGTCCGCCCTCTGAAAGCATTCTGAGGAATTCTCCTAGCCCCTGGCCTGCCTAGTTCTAGAATGCTTTATTGCCTTTTTACCCAAAAAAGGCAAAATAGCTGCCTGTTTAAAAAATATGTATTTCTAGTCGGGCGTGGTAGTGCATGCCTGTAATTCCAGCACTCAGGAGGATGAGGCAGGAAGCCTGAGTTTGAAGACAGCCTGGGCTGCATAATAATACCTGGTCGGGAAAAAAAAAAAAATCTGTACTTTGAGCTTTAAGGTAGTTAGATGTCTACACCTGTGAAACATTTGGCACCATGACAATGGAAGACACCCACTGCCTCTTCTGCTCAGTGCACCTGTAGCTGCAGCCCACAAAGGGACACACTGGATTTGTTCCCCATCTCTCGTACCTGGCAATGGCTGGATGAATTAAGTGGGTGGAGGGATGAAGTCCTGGTTTCCAGATTGGCAGCTTTTCTAGGGCAGGGTCTTTGTCACCCGAGCAGCCTCAGGGACAGCATATAACTTACTTTCAGCTCCCAAGGCTGAACTGTCCCGAGAGATTCTAGATCATCCCTTCTGCCCACAGTGACAGCAGTTACAGGGATCCACAGAAGTTAAAGGTCTTCAGCTGGCGGGGGGCCCACCTGCTCCTCACTGCTGTTGGCTTCTCAGAGCAGTGACATCCCAGATCTACCCCAACCCTGGAGCCCTCAGCAGCACCCTGCAGATCCTGGCCTGGACTTTAGAACTTGGGACTGAAAGACCATAGAAAGGTTCCCTCTGCACAGGCAACTAGGGCCAAGGTGAGCAGGACTCAGACTCAGACTGGGCAGCCTCTTTCTTACCAGCGAAGGGTGACAAGTGGAGCAAGAGGGATCTTGCTGGGCGCCTCACCTAACACAGCAATTCCCGGGGACACAAGACTTCAGTTTTTTTTTCCCAGAATACCCACCACCCGGTACAGGGCATCCAACCCCTAAAAGCCCAGGAAAGAGCTCCCCACTCTCTGAAGGGTCCCAGATACCAAGAGGCAGATCTAGAAGTTTATTCCCAGGTCTTGGGACAAGAAACCGGCTCACCCCACTTGGCCCAGGCCCTGGTCACCCCACTGTGTGGTACATCCTCCAAAGGCCCCATGCTGAACAACACAAGCCATGCCTCGGTCTTCAAGGTGTGCACTTTTATTGAGCTGGTCTCAAAAGTCAGTGTACAGGTAAGCCCTGGATGCCTCCACACTTCAACCCACTCCCAGGGAGACCAAAAGCCTTCATACATCAAGTTGGGGGATGAAAAGGGGGGCCATGATGGCTGACCATTCAAAATAAAACAAAATAAAAAAGTATTAAGGCGAAGATTAAAAAAATTTGCATTACATAATTTACACAAAAGCAATGCTGTCACCTCCCCTGCATGGACTTGGGAGGACTGGGCCCTCTCTGCAGAGTGGGGCAGCTTTTGGGAGGGTGAGGGACTTCCTGTAACAATGCATCTCACAATATTTGGAATGATTAAAAAACAAACAATTGAATAAAAAAAAAAAGAAAAAAAAAAAAGAACAATGTACAATCAAAGTCCTCGGCCACATTGCAGAACTTTGGGGATGCTCACTCCAACTGTCACCTTTCACCGTTCCAGTTTTTAAATCCTGAGTCAAAAGCGCCAAAACAAAAAACAACAAAAAGAAAAAACAAATAAAGCCATGCCAATCTCATCTGGTTTTCTGCGCGCAAGTTAGGTTTTTTCAAGAAAGGGTGAAACGCAGCGAAGTAACAGTCCGCCTAGAAGCATTTGCGGTGCACGATGGAGGGGCCCGACTCATCGTACTCCTGCTTGCTGATCCACATCTGTTGGAAGGTGGAGAGCGAGGCCAGGATGGAGCCGCCAATCCACACGGAGTACTTGCGCTCAGGTGGGGCGATGATCTGTGGAGCAAAGGGGAGTCGTCATTGGGAGGGCCCTGGATGTCAGGGTACCCCCACCAGAGCCACTGGACAGTGGCCTGACCACAAGGGACACTCACCTTAATCTTCATCGTGCTGGGCGCCAGGGCTGTGATCTCCTTCTGCATCCTGTCGGCGATGCCTGGGTACATGGTGGTGCCACCAGACAGCACTGTGTTAGCATAGAGGTCCTTGCGGATGTCCACGTCGCATTTCATGATGGAATTGAAGGTAGTTTCATGGATGCCACAGGATTCCATGCCTGGAGAGAAATAGGAGGTTACTCTTTAAATTCCAGTGTGGCCCACATGCTGACAACAGGCTGGGGACAGGACCACAAAACCTACTCACCCAGGAAAGAGGGCTGGAAGAGTGCCTCGGGGCAGCGGAACCGCTCATTGCCAATGGTGATCACCTGGCCATCAGGCAGCTCATAACTCTTCTCCAAAGAGGAGGAGGATGCGGCGGTGGCCATCTCCTGCTCGAAGTCCAGGGCGACATAGCACAACTTCTCCTTAATGTCACGCACGATTTCCCGCTCGGCCGTGGTGGTGAAGCTGTAGCCACGTTCCGTCAGAATCTTCATGAGGTAGTCTGTCAGGTCCCGGCCAGCCAGGTCCAGACGCAGGATGGCGTGGGGAAGGGCGTAGCCCTCATAGATGGGCACCGTGTGGGTGACCCCGTCACCGGAGTCCATCACAATGCCAGTGGTGCGGCCAGAGGCGTACAGGGACAGCACAGCCTGGATGGCTACGTACATGGCTGGGGTGTTGAAGGTCTCGAACATGATCTGTAAGGAGGGAGGAATGGGCCTCGTCACACGGCTGGGGAAGTCACCAGTGGGGTCAGGGCAGACTGGGGACATGCAGTGTGCAAGAACACAGCTAAGTGTGCTGGGGTTCTGTTCAGACCTGTGCACCTACACTCAATACACACTCCAAGGCCACTTTACACCAGCCGCATGGCTGTCACATGAGTCAGTGTTAGTAGTACCTACACCCACAACACTTGTCTTTTAAACACCTTGTCAGAAACACAAACACAAGTAAAAGACCTCATCTGGGGAAAGCAAATAGAACCTGCAAAGTTCCAAAGGAGACTCAGGTCAGAGAAGAAAGAGGACCCTAGAGAATGGCAGAAGAGAGAACAAGTGAGATAGGGCGTGGCAAAGATCACAAGGACGGAGAAGGCCATTCGGGAAACGTAGCAGCCACTGACCTGGGTCATCTTCTCACGGTTAGCTTTGGGATTCAGGGGAGCCTCGGTCAGCAGCACGGGATGCTCCTCAGGGGCCACGCGCAGCTCATTGTAGAAGGTGTGGTGCCAGATCTTCTCCATGTCGTCCCAGTTGGTGACGATGCCGTGCTCAATGGGGTACTTCAGGGTCAGGATGCCTCTCTTGCTCTGGGCTTCGTCTCCCACGTAGGAGTCCTTCTGGCCCATGCCCACCATGACGCCCTGCAGAGGAGAGGGTCTTCAGGCCCTGCGCAGACCCCACCCGGGGAGCCCCCACCGCAGAGGGGAGTGTTCCCTGCCGGGATCCACGCGGCTGACCGCCCTACCTGATGCCTTGGGCGCCCCACGATGGAGGGGAAGACGGCGCGGGGAGCATCGTCACCCGCGAAGCCGGCCTTGCACATGCCGGAGCCGTTGTCAACAACGAGTGCAGCAATATCGTCATCCATGGCGAGCTGCGGACAGAGCGGCGCTGTGACGAGAGGGTCGCGGTCGCCCCCGCCCTGTCCACTTCTGACCGCCCTACCTGATGCCTTGGGCGCCCCACGATGGAGGGGAAGACGGCGCGGGGAGCATCGTCACCCGCGAAGCCGGCCTTGCACATGCCGGAGCCGTTGTCAACAACGAGTGCAGCAATATCGTCATCCATGGCGAGCTGCGGACAGAGCGGCGCTGTGACGAGAGGGTCGCGGTCGCCCCCGCCCTGTCCACTTTCCACTT